GCGGGTGTGATAGGATGGAAAATTGGCTGGCGAGCTTGTGAGGCGTGCGGCACCTCGGGTTGTGGGTTGTAAGATGTGGATTACGGGCTGCAAGAGATAGCAGCCAGACGCTCATGCCATTTATGTCGATGTTGTTTGATGAACTAAGAAGGTGAAGCCCGGAGCCAGGGTTGACAAATGCAGACATACCGAGCCCTGGGCGGGGGCGCTACAGCGCTGAAGGTACCGATAGGGAAGACCAAGACGGGAACAGGGAATACCAGGCCGAAAGATGTTTGGTCTGGTCTGGCGCAATGTTGTGACAGGATGTGCCTTCTCGCTGAGTGGCTTTCCAGCTTCGACTGGAATCGATAAACCCGAGTAGAGAAAATAAATTCTAGGACCCGAGAGAAGAAGAAACACGCTCACCCTCACGGGTTGGCTCCGGCTTTTTCTCTATCTCTGTCCCCCCACCCCCATTGGGAATTTTGAGGGTAGGTTTAAACCGAAAGGTGATAATAAAAGTGGTGAGTACCCTAGGTGTGGGATGGTGAGTGAGCAAAGTGAGCAACAAGAAGTGAGGTGGGATCGGGGTGAGCCCGGCCGCCAGATAACATCCCCCGCCCTTCTCCTAGCGTGCTCAGAAGAAACCCTGGTCCCGCCAACTGCGGGAGTGGATCCGGCACAGGCCTATCGGATGACGCCAATCGCGGTGAGGCTAGCGGCATGGCCCGGTAAAGTCTAACAACTCGGCACCTATTAGCGGTCATTGTGTGTTTTTTTTTTGCCCTGATGAACGTGAACGGCGAGCTGCCATGCCACTTCCGCAATAAAAACGGCGCCTTGTTGATCAACGGCGGCGGGGTATTGCTGCGGTGTGAGCCTGCGAGGTTCGTCAGTCCTGACTTCCAGGTTTGCAGGGACCTATGTAGGTAGGTAAGGTGGGTAGGTTTTGGTTTGCAGTGGCATTTTGGGTTTCGAGCCGAAAACGCAAAGATCCCGGCCCTTGATTGAGCTAGACCATTGAACCAGCGGGGGGTAACCGCGCCTGCAAGAAAATAGATTTAACAAAAATAAAAATACAACAGAAGAAGAAGAAGTGCCTTTCTGGGGATTTTATTGTTTTTTTTTTTTTTATCTTCACTTGTACAGGGACCTGAACTGCCTGATTGTTTCCCTTGTTGCCGTTGGTGCTCGCATCCATCTGGGACATCGAGGCCCAATCGATATCCTGCCAAAGGAGAATATATTCGCGTCTTCCGATCGTGGTCTCTTGCACGCAAGCTTTAGGAGTCACCAGGCAGACCCTCAATAGCATGACTTATTTCCTTCCATCGCTCGGATATCCACATCACGCCTGATAGATCTTCGATCACGGATCCCAGGACCGGAGCCCACTCCTCCGTATTTCGGCGTTTCGGTCAAAAGTTGCACACCCACACCTGAGGGCTTGCGATACATGCACCAAGACTTGCCATAGATGCCTTTCGAACGTGTCTCAATGTCCTCATAGTTGAACCGGCGGCGTGAAAGAGCCACTGGACTCTGTGGGAGAGATCTTATGCTCGCCCAGATTACGATACTCATCTCGGCTACCGAGTCAAGTTCACCTCCGCCTCTACCACGTCGCCTTCGATCTTGGTTTATCAAAGGTGTGAATCCATCACCTCGACTACACCGAGACATTGGCTATTTCGCCTTGCCCCAACGGTTTTCCGGGTAACCCTTGCTGTCACGCCACGGCGATAAGGTCTCCGCACAACACGCCAAAGGTGGTGTGTCCTTGCTTTTTCTCCGGACTCTGCTCAACTGCCACGAGCTTTTTGGAGGGTTCGTGAACTGGACTAAACTATCAACAAGACAAATCTTTGAGCCAAAACGCCGCGCCTGCGGGCCATCGTGCCAAGTGCCAGGTGCCAGATGAGAACGGCTCCTGGCCTGTCTGCATGGTTGCTTTTGGCAAGAAACAGAGGATTCGATGGATCAAGCGTCTAGCCCAGGGCAGGCTTCTTCCCAGCATGGAGATGACCATCACCGACCACCAAGCCCGACCAGGAGGGACTCCGGCGATAGCTCAGATTCCAACGGCAGACTCAACGGCGGAAGCCATGCACAAGAGCCAGGTGCTCCGCCTGAACGGAAGGATACCGGGTCATCGACGGCCACCGTTGCCACGGCAATAGCAAACCAAAGCTCAGGCGAATCTGTAACGACTGTATACCACTTCGAAGGTTCGTCGAGGCCTCTAGCTCCTTCCCAGCAGCCTCGATTTTCCATCAGCAATGGCACGGACACGGGCAATGATCCGTCACGACGGGGAAGTTCCTCTCGAAGGCGAACTGGACCACTGAGTACAGAGCAACGGAAACGGGCATCCTTGATCAGGAAAATGGGCGCCTGTGAGAGCTGCAAGAAACGCAGAGTAGCGGTACGTGTAGGACTTCGGGCCTTTGTGACACGCAACGCCTCTTGCTGACACCTACATGTCTACCTAGTGCGACCCATCACATCGAAACTTATCTTGGGAGTCAGTCAGAGATCGAATACCCGATTTAACCTCGGTTTCAGATATCAGTCGTAATCTGAGTCCTGTAATTCCGGCTTCTAGGCTGTCTTTTAGCCAGGACCAACCCGACATGGACATCGATTCACTTCCATTGCAGCAGACGCCGTTTGATACCCCACCTGCCCCAGGCCGAACACCTCTACCTTCTAGCCCGCGTCTACACAAGCCGATCAACATGGTTCCTGTGCCTGGACAGGATGGTTTCAGGGCCGAGCTTCAGGGGAGCGCTTCGCGGATTGCATCGAACCCTCTCCGTAGTCGCTATGCCCAGGTCTCGGTGCTCATGACCCAATGGCAAGATGATGAAGATGGCACAGCGAAGAAGGCCATCGAGGATCTGGCCGACACTTTGAGCAATGATTATAATTACAGGGTGGAATACACGATTATACCCACTTACTCCGATGCAAAGCATAACCCGGCACTCTGGTTGACAGGGAAAGTGACTGAGTTTCTCTTGGAGGACAATCAGCGCGATGTCTTGAAGATTTTCTATTACAGTGGCCACAGCTATCTCGGCAGGGACCGAGACACTATTCTCGCAAGGTGGGTGATACCCTAGTTTGTGCCCTTCTTCCATTTAGCTAACTTGTTTTAGCTCCAAACAACTCCATCCCGAATCCAGTATTCCATGGCAGGGCATCCAGCAACTGTTCGAAAACACATATACTGATTCTTTGGTTATCCTGGATTGTGCCTACTATCCCATGTATCAAAACGTCCGCCAAAAAGGAATGTTGGAGGTTATCGCTGCCTCGGCTGGGAGGGATCCCGTTGAGCAACTGAAAAGAGACTCATTCACACGCATCGTGAATGAGCAGCTTAAGGCAAGGGCGGCTCAGAGGTTCAAAGATCCTTTTACAGCAGCCAGTCTGCATGCGAAACTTGTCTCGGAGTACGCAAGGCTGGTTCAGAATCACAACCCGGAGCAAGAGATTACCGTGAACTTCCTTACGCCGATACTTCTCCAACAGTCCAGCAACAAGGTCTTGCCCTCAATTCCACTGGCGCCTCTTCAAAAAGGCCCGGCCCTGGTGTTTACCCCAGATTCTCCAACAAGTGGCGCGAATATCCGTTTTACTTTTACTCTATCAGACAACACGTTTAATTTGGACGCATGGTCAGAATGGCTCCGTTCGATGCCACAGGGCATTAAGGATGTTAAGGTTGAAGGACCTTATCGGGATACGTTTAGGTGACGGGAATCTGTCACCTGTTTTGTCCGTTTTTTTTCTCTTTTTTTTTTCGTTTCGCCCCCCCCCCTCCCCCCCCCTCTTTTGTGAATACTATTTCATGGTTTCAAGGATATGTTTACAGCACATCCATTGAACGTTTGCTTCCGCATAGCCAGCTGGCAACTGCGACTTTGTGAACATCCAAATCCCGTTGACACCAACCGCTGAGGGGGCGCATTGTAGGTATATCAGGAAGATTGAGCATGCTGCCGATTTGGGATGATATGGTGAGCGACGGAGCTGCTGTTGGAGATTTGTGTATGGAATGGGTTGAAAATTGGGTTTCGGCGAGACCGTTTTGGGTAATGGTGGGTTCTGATGCATCGCCAGTCACTGGAGATTTTTTTTGGTTTTTGTTTTAATTGAACCCTTTGATTTCAGCGCTGTCCATAAATTAGAGCCGATGGCTTTGGCCATGTTGAGATCCTACGGATGGTATATGTTTGACTGAATTGAAACTCCCCTCAAAAAAAAGAAAAAGAAAAAGAAAAGAGAAGAGAGTTAAGGGGAATTTTTTTTTTCACACATAAACAGCACAGCCATCCACACATTTGGCATCAGTCCTCGCTGGTATCGTTCACCAGCCTTACTACTATGTGATCGAATTTCAACTATCAAGTCAGCAACTAAGGCTAATACTTACTCAGAGGCTGCTCCGGCATCATGGCCAGCAAGCATGCGCGCATATATGACATGAGAGGCGTGATATACCTGACTTTGAACAATCACTCCCTCCCCTTTCTTACCTTGGACCAACTCCAGCAAGGCTCACACAAACTACGTAAATGTGTACTGTAACTGGTCAAGCTCATCATCAGCACCACCACCATCTATTTCAAGCCCTTGTTTTTCATGATCAACATTACATTCTAGCTAACCATACACTTAAATATACGTTACCCAGCTTCCACAGACACACCACAAATTTTCACTTTTTTTTTTTTTTTTAAAAAAAAAAAAAAAAAAAAAAAAGGAAAAGAGAAAAAAAACATTCACTCCTCCACTTAACACAATATACTCCTCAACAACACACAAGTCCCTGATCAAAAGTTACCTACCTACCTACCTACCTACCTACCTATCTACACAAAAAGAAGCCTAGAAACCCAACAACGCAAAAAAAAAAAAAAAAAAAAAAAAAAAAAAAACCCCAAAAAATATATATATATATATATATTTCACTCAACAAGCAATTGTTGACTGAAGATTATATATGAACGGGGGCCACCCGGGGATTGAACCCGGGACCTCTCGCAAGCAAATGATTAGAGTGAACCCTAAGCGAGAATCATACCACTAGACCAGCGGCCCTTGATGTTCATTCTTTGATGCCTTTCAGATGGCGGTAGGCCATGTTCAAACAAGGAGCGACACTATTCCCACACACACACATTTGCCTTCCCTCGACGTACCGCATGACTCATTCGCCGTTCCCACCCAAGAAAGAACACCAACTCCCTCCCTCCCTCCCACAAAAACACGAATTTCCCTCATGATTTAGTTCCCTACACTTTATACCACCTTTCAAACGTGATTTAACATTCATTTCCCCATGAGGGCCGCTGGTCTAGTGGTATGATTCTCGCTTAGGGTTCACTCTAAACATTGCTGCGAGAGGTCCCGGGTTCAATCCCCGGGTGGCCCCCGTTCAAATATCTCCTGACTTTCAGGAAATCATCTTTTTTTTGGGGGGTCCCTCCAAAAAATACACTATTTACTATTTACTATTGGACGAATAGTATACTCGTTTTCTTGTCAGATGTTATGGCTTGAAATAGTTACGTTCGGGTTCTAGGTGTGAGTAAAGTTGGAGTTATGATTGATGGCAGGGCTAAGGTTAATAAACCCTGAGCATGGTACTTCTGACGGGGAGGTCTGATATGTGTAAAGTTGAATGTTTATTTAGGAAGAAAACAAATGCTCCTGATCAAACACCGCGCTCCCAATTTTCCCCAACTCATGCGCCAATTCCTCAGAAATCATGCTTTTAAAGTCCACAGATGTCATTGCAGGCAACAGGCTTAATACCAGAAAGAAAGAAGATCGGGAGTCAAGAGCCCCCCCCAATGCACCGCCAGTTTACCGTTCCCCTGCAAGAGTGATTTCAACCTTTTCAGCATTGACGTACCAAATAGCCGCCTCAATGATACGGCAGACAATTCGTAAGTCACTCTCATCTGATACGGTTAGTTACTGACTCTGTGACTCCATACAGAGAACAACTCACTTCTGGGTGCATAAATCATGGTGAAGGTTGTCGGAACTGGTGCTTGGATCCAGCCCTTCCAAGCCATGGGGTGCCTTTGCCCCCAACCTTTTTCCAGTATCTCCCGGATATCGTCTGGATGAAGGTTCATGTGCATCGACCTATCCGAGTTATGGATATGGCAGATTTCTCCATTGCCGCAAACATTTAAGGGATGCCGAGAAAACAGGGCGAACCCGTGCTTTTCGAGACAAGAAGTCGCAGTGACGAAACTTTTCGGTTCTTGAACGGTGAGGGCCTCGAGCGTGGCACGGAGTCTGTTGTACTCTTTCAATGAGCCGTGTTGATCAAGCTGTCTCTGGGGGGCGAGGCCGGCGACGTTTGGGCGTGGGCCAGGTCGGTAGGGTAGATCGCTGAGGATCCCGGCTGATGGTTGCTTGACTGTGTCCCTTGGGGGAGCAGTGAATGGGTCTCGGAGAGTGAACAGTCGATACCAGGTAAGCCTGGCGTAGCCTGATGGTGTTGGAGGTGTTCCTCCCGGGCCTAGCTTCAAGAAATTGAGATAATCGTTGTGAATTAGAAGAGCCACAGGGACCGCTATGATGAGAAATTCGAGTACTATCCAGTCTATAAAGTGCATGCCGAGGACAAGCAATACCGAGAGTGCCAGGAGAGCAGATGCATCGAGCGTGATGTAGAAGGGGTCCTGCCTGATTACCATATTTATAGAGACTTGACTCGACTCATCGCTGGTCGGTGCCTGACAATGCTCTGAGGTGACTGTGAAAGACATTCTGAACAAGGGGAGCCGACGAGTGTCGAGGCCTGATAGCCACCTAGTGCGAATAGTGTGTTGTATATTGATGGCGGGATTTGTGATAGAGCTATGTATTATAATCTGAGGATACGGTCTCGTTGTTCATCGGTAAATTCGAGGTGGCATAGGTCTCTGGTATATATGCTCGTGTGACCAATTCGATCAGGACGAAAGGGGTTTGGTGAAGCGAGTGGCCGGGGGATCGACTATTGAGGACTAGAGGAATGTCATGGTATGGTTCACTGCAGGACCTGACCTCCATTCCAGGGTCACTGCAGTGGTTTTTGCCATGCAAAATGTCCAGAGAGGAAAGACGAGAGAAGCTTATAGGCTACTGACCGACTGACAGTGCCATGCGGTCACCATTAGCTCATGGACCCACCTCCTGCCACTTGAACGAAGGCCTGTTTGCATCCTGGAAGGTCAGGTACGGCCCGATGCTGGGTACTCGTCCCGGGTCGTGGTCTGATATGAACTGTGGTTCATAGATAATCACCGGATTGATTGAGGGGGCACAAGAATGACCGTATCCAGCTCGGGTTTTTTATTTATTTATTTCATGCGGCAGGCATAAGAAAGAAATTTCGACAAAGAAGTCAAGTATCGGAGAGCAAGGTGGTTTGTGTTGCAAGTGTGCGGAAAAGTGTGCTTGTACTGTCACGAGGTCAGTTCATTGTTCAATCGTCGATCTAAGGCTCCGATGACGTTGAAGATACTCAGCTGCTTGCCCACTCGGCTGCCAGCCAAAGTCGAACCTTTACAATCGCACATCTTTAGCTTCAACACTCGAACCGATTTCTGTAAACATGAATCCAAAGAATTAGAGATTTGCATAGCAAACTTATAACAGATGTAATCAAAAGAAACCCTTTGGAGTTTCACAGCAGATTGCGTTACACTGGTCATTTCTGCTTCAAGAGGGCAAGTCAATTCCCATCTGCAAAGACAGTATCCGCATCTAAGAAACTCCCACTTCCGATTGTCAGGTCATCTGATGTTCGTCCTCTGAGACACCAGAAAAGTGAAGGCATTCCGATTCGTCAATGCCAACCAAGCCTTCCAACTACAGCAAGCCACTGCACTTTGATGGCCGAAAAGGGGAAGCCGAAGACAAGGGTGCTTCTCGTCCTCCTTGACTGCGCATCTCTCTTCTGTATGTCTCGGTAGGTAATGTAATTGTATGTCTTGGGAACCTTGATGACCATTCCGCCAGACAACCCACAAGTCCGAGTGACTCCGGATATAAACTCAGATCCCCCAAAGAGGCAATACCTTGCAGATATTGGGTGAAACGCACAAACTGTTTTGTGCAGAGCAAACACTCGGGCCCGAGACACTGCCGATCTTAGTGCGCCCCGTGTTGCAGAGGTCGGACGGCGCGGAGCAGCGGAGGGAGAGGAGGCCGGCCACCTGTTGATGGCCTTGCATGGTTTTTTTATATCTTTGAAAAGAGAGTGCCTTGCACTAATACAAACCGCAAGCGGATCTCAGTTTGAAAGATGACGTGGACTGACCGAAGATCAGCGGGAAACCCGGCAGCGGCCCTTGAGCTTCCCCACAAGCCACCCGTTGCCAAGCGTTACGTTACGTTACTTGTGCATTGTGCCACTGCTTGTCAAACCTTCAGCAGCGACTGTCAGTCGTGATAAGATGAACCATTCACTCGATACAAGCGCAAAAGTCCCCCAGACGTTCCGACGATGATCGAACCGTGAACCACAGTCTTTGACAGATCGGCCGGGACCCGCGGCACCGCGGGCAGCCAACGGTTGCATGAAACATGAAACGACAATCACCCAGCCCAAATGGGAATCCAAGTTGCTGGCATGCCATTCGCCAAGCTTGCTGTTTTATTATCTTTCTCAGCTCCTTTTCTAGGCAAATCTCCCATTCACATGCAGGGGCACATGCCGCACTCACTCAGATCCTCATGCATGCCGCATCGGGTCATCGGGTTCACTTAGGGACCGGTGCAGTACGCGGAAATCGCACCGTCTGATCTGATCAGGCAAATCAAAAGAATAGATAAAAAACGGGAGGCCGGGCCAAGGAATTTGACACCTGTGTGTGCTGATGATCGACGCACGCAAAAGTACCCTGACCGAGACAAACAGCCACCCTCCAAGCCATCCATCCACTTCTTCTCGGCTTTGCGGCAATCTGGAACCCAACAGCGTTGTTGGAAAGGGGAATGAAAAGCTTCGCCTGATCTCCATTTTTTGAACTCTTTTGGACTCGAAGATCCGTGCTCTCTTTTTTTATTTCTTTTTTTAAAAACAATCTTTTCTGCGTGTGCTATCTACTTCCGTCGCTTCCGCCAGCTTGGGTCCTCCACACCAAAAACACAACCTCGAACCTCTCCACCCTCGTTGAATTAACAATTTTTTGTTTTTTGTTTTTATTTTTTTATATTTTTTTTGGGGGAGAGAGAGAGAGAGCTCGATTCGATTCTTAGTCATTCGTTGGTTCATTCACTCAACTGCCCTTTTCTCCCACCTTTTCTTTTTCTTTGATTAAAATCGAATGCATCAGATTAGATATCATTAATAACCTGCATGATTCGTTAAGATGCATCTTCAACTGTGGCAGTCTTCACTTCTTCCACTCGCTCTCCTTAACACCCCACTTCTCACCTCTGCTGAGCCCATCAGGCTCCCTCAACATCAGGAACATGACTTGATACTCGCCCCGAGAGCGCGTCCCAACGCACCGAATGGCTACGCTCCGGCCCCGGTCACTTGCCCTCAAGACAAGCCCAGACTCCGTGTTGCGGGCGCCGTCTCTCAACGCGAGACGGAATGGCTCGCAAAGAGACGCAAGGAGACCGTCGACCCCATGATTGATTTTCTCAGTCGCGCCAACATCGATGGTTTTGATGCTAGGGCCTATATCAATAGGGTCGCCGATGGCGTCAAAGACCTCCCCAACATTGGAATTGCTGTTTCTGGTGGCGGATATCGTGCTCTGATGAATGGAGCTGGTTTTGTAGCTGCTGCTGACAGCCGAACCGGTGGATCAACTGGCAATGGCGGCATCGGCGGATTGCTCCAAAGCACTACTTACTTGTGAGATGAAACATCCCAATAATTCTTACCTCTTGTGTGTATTTACTGACATTACCATCTAGAGCTGGTCTATCAGGAGGTGGTTGGCTAGTCAGCAGTATCTATGCCAACAACTTCACCACCGTTGAACAGCTCCGTGACAGTAAAAAGGGTAGCAGCACTTGGGATTTTCAAAACAGCATTTTTAAGGGTCCCGATATGCCAGGCGTCCTTGATACTGCCAGGTATTGGAGATCGGTAGCCCAGCAGGTTGCGAGCAAGAAGGATGCCGGCTTCGAAACCTCCATCACCGACTATTGGGGACGTGCTCTCTCCTATCAGCTTATTGACGCCCCTGACGGTGGCCCGGCCTATACATTTTCCAGTATCGCCCTGGACGAAGAGTTCTCCAACGCCCGCACTCCCTTCCCTATTCTCGTGGCTGATGGACGTGCACCTGGTACCAAGATCATCTCTCTCAACGCAACAGTGTATGAATTCAACCCATTCGAGATGGGCTCATTCGACCCCACGACCTACGGTTTCGCCCCCATCGAGTACCTCGCCTCCAACTTTAC